GGAGGCACGGCGTGTACGGCCGCGTCGGAGGGTTGAGGAGTCCCTCTATGGCATGAACGGCCACCGAGGGGAGAGTACGACCTATTAGTGGTCGGTAACGCCAGCCGCAAAAAGGCTGTATAATTGACCATAAGCGGTCAGACCTCAGCGCTACTTAAGCCGTGTACGGGCCCCAGTGCGCACTGAGGGGTAGTGTCGATCGATGGTGCTAGCCGCTCTTATATAGCGGTGATGTTGCTTTCCGCGCACGAGTAGACGATTGACCGGTTGGCCATCTCGTGGCGAGCGCGTGAATCACTCTCGTGCGCGGGCGGGCCCACTGCTTTCCGCGCACGAGTAGACGGTCGAACGGCTGGCCATCTCGTGGCGAGCGTGTGAGTCACTCCCGTGCGCGGGCCCACGGTGTCGGTGCGTGGCAGCGCGGCGGCGCGCGCCGGCGCGCTCGTCGCTGGGCCAGAGTGGCGATGACCGCCACAAGACAATAAGGTGCAAATACTTTCATCTATTGTAAATTTTTTTTAAGAGCGAAATTGCAAAATCCGGCTCTGTAGCAAGAGTCATAATTTTATAAAAAATACGTAGAAAAAGGCTCATGGCAGAATATTGCTTCTACGAGATGATATATGGATGTACTCAAATATATCTGCACTGTAAATAAGGAGTAGATAGTTACATTTATTTAATTTTAACTATTTAAGAGCTAAATTGCAAAATTGACTCTGTAGGTAGCTTCGTAATTGTAAAAGAAATTATCTTAACAAAGTTTCATGACGAAATATCGTTTCTATAAGACAAAATATAATTGAGTATAGATACATATCTGCACTGTAAATAAGAAGTAGATCATTTTAAATCAAGTTGGAGTTAGCCCGTCGCTCCTGCCGACCCTTAAGTGCACAAAGATTAAGAGAAAAAAAAAGGATTAAAAGGAGTAATTGCAGAGTAATGTGATAATAGGAAATCAGTGGACCTGTGCTATATAACTCGGTGGACGAGTTAAAGCAAGTTGAAGGCATTATTTCTCCATCCGAAGATAACCTCAAAACACATCGTTCTAAGTATAAACAAATTCATAATGCGACCGCATAAATTCAAACTTCCATGTGATATAGACAGGTATTATATATTATATTTAAAAAGCGAGTAATATTTTTTACTAATTCAGATTCAAAGTATTATACAATAAAAGATAATTATTATCTTTATTTTTCATAAAATATATCAGGGAAAGATACTCTCTGTTGACATTTTGATGACATACTGACACTTTTACTGGATTTTAGTTTTACGGAAATCGACAAGAAAGTGGTGATAGTCTCAGTGTTTGGTAAATCTCAATATCGAGCAAAAGGATGCAAGACGGACATGCTAAGTTCTATACTCCAAATAAATCTTCTGGATAAACCAGAAATTGATCAGGAGTCTTGGGTGAGATATTTTTTTCTAGTCTAGACTTACTCATTTAATTAAGTAATATCCTGTTTTTATGTTTTTCTTTTATCAGTGTGAAATTGAAGGATATTATAATTCTAAAGAAAAGACAGTTTATTTGCATTTGAGAGGATTCTTAGATGCTTATTCACTTCTGACTGAATATGACAAATTCACGGAAAAGCAGGACTGTAAGGATTTTCTTAGTGTTTGGGCACATATGAGAGATAAATATGCAAGAGCGCTTCTAGTATTGTTTCACATATCTCACATAATGGTGCTTACTCATCCAACACATACCTTCGACTACAGTTATGTACATTTATTCCGTGCTATGGATATGATCAGGTCAGTGTCAGATTTTTGCCAAATTAAATATCTGTAAATAAATATAATTTACATATCAAATTTTTTATTGAAATAATGATTACAATGATTTTTACGATAGGCAAAAGATCTCCCCACAACTTTCTGATGTGTTAAGCTGTATTCATAGTTTACCTAAGGATTGGATTGCAAATGCTAGACCTTGTTCACCACGAATATTATTTTATTTCGAAACCTGTCCTGCAGTATTCCAGGATTCAGACAGTGATGCTAACATCAAGAAATTAGAACATTCTCTGGAGGATCAAATTTATCATGTGCTAAGAAAAAATAGGATTGTTACGAATATTAGGTACAAAATTAATATGTAATTTTGCTGAAGCAAGTCTGATGAAGCATTAAAACTACTTGTTTTGCTCTTAGTTCGAATTCTATGTTTGCAATACCAGCTAATCAGGAATTTGTATACATACATACTGGAAATACAGACTCAAGGGACATGTTAGGTTATATGGCAAGAAAATTAATAGAAAGCTGTAAAGTTGGTTCTGGTGGTACAACATCAAAAAGTCTTGTTACTAATTTGGATTCAAACAATATTGTAATGAGTGACAGCGAAGGTGGTAAGACCAAAAATGAATGAAGGAAAAAGTAATGGTAAGGGAGCAATGTATACATATAAAATATAATTCTTATACATTTACAGAGACTCACTCATTTAAATCATTTTTGCAACAACATATAAATCTGGCCTTCACAAAAGGATTTGACGATAATGTTAGTCGGCACTCCATACCAGCCCATTTCGAGGTGTGATTATGAAACTTTTTAATTTAATGCCACATTAATGCTGAATTAATATTAATCAAATGATATTAGCATTAAATAAATCATTTTTGATTCTTAAAAACAAGCAATGTTTTACAGATACCTACTTTAAATATATTTTGCCAAGTAGCAAATAAAGTTTTCGATTATTTTATTCATGGAACCGACAAAGAACTATTAGCGCTTCATAATTTATTAGATACAGACGTGAAATTTAGCAAGAGCCGATGTAATAAAATACTTCCCAGAGCTTTACAAGCGTATCAGGAAAATCTACCACAGCATTATACGAGGTAAAATTGTTTGTGATAATCATGATTTAAGAACATTATGTTTCAAATAAAATAATGTCTGCTAGAGCGTATCATGAATCGAAGCTGGCACACGCGATGGCGGTTTTCGAGATGCATGCCCGCGGTCCATTGTTCGAGGAATTTAGTGAGAAATTGCAAGCCGAGTGTGACAAACATTGGCGAGCTGGTAGACAAATGTGCGAAGTGTTATCACTCACTGGTCATCCTTGCACAAATCCCGTTCACAGAGGAGGTAGCGAAGGTGCAGGAGGTGGAGAACAAGCTGAACCCAGAGAGGATGACAGGCATGTATTTTCCTACATATATTTACATATAATAAATCGTATATTCTTATATAGATTATAATAAATTTATATAATCAATTACATTATTTTTATCTGCAGTGAACTACCTACCAGAGAGCATTGCAGCGGCGTCAGATACGTGTGCGCTTGCAATTGCGGTAGGATTCAAGGCTCGAGAGAAGATCCCTTCAGTCTGAGACAAGCTAACCACGATTATTTCCAGATGTTAGCGAAGCAATGCGGTTGCGCGCAATTAGAGAGTATACAATTTCCTATATTTCAACCTAGCACACATAATTATAGGTAAAGCATTCACACTACTAGAGATTTCAGATGAACAATGATGTACATATTTCTTTTTTCTTACCTATAGAGCAGCGCAGTTATTTTCAGCGACCAAACGCCATGATTCCTTCAGTCGTAACGAATCCTCTACACCTCAAGGAGACACGCAAGCTTGTAGTTTAGGAGTTGACACTTTAAATGGCAAGTAGCATTGAGTATTCCAAGAGATATCCGTTTAACGAATATTTAATTATTTTGGGAAATATTGTAGATGAAATTACAGAGTACGGTAGCGGTGGTCAATCGTCGGCAACAAGTGATCAAATAGATAGTGACATCCCAAGATTAAGTAGTAAGACGAGTCTGACGCCAAGCGATTCACACAAAGTTGTTATAGAAGTTACTGACAGCGATGCTGAAAATGCTAAAGGTTTCATTATATTATTCATTATTATAAAAGTTCAAGTCTAAATATTTCTAGATTTCTAAATTTAATTGAACATATAAGTATTCCAAATATATATTTTATAGACAAATCTCTAGTCAGACAACCATCAACGACAGAATATCTACCTGGAATGTTGCATACCGAGTCTCCATCCGGCTTGCTACCGCAATTCTCCAGCTGGTCTCTGGTATGTCTCGGACCGAGTAGCTTATATTCTCACAATTTAGGACTGCAGCATCAGATCGGAGTATTCCCTACTTCTGCATTTTTGCTGCCATGGGATGTGACTGTCAGGTAAGCAGAAAATATTGCAATTCCTAGATATTCCTAGACATTCCTAGAGTGCCGTTTGCAATGTTTTTTGCGAAAAAAGATTTTCTAAAACGTACAAATATCCATTGAAGGTTAGAGCATCACGAACGAAAAGAGCGGCATTCGTTGTGGCCGATGGTGGGCGATCAAGGAGGCGGCTATTGTTCACGAGGAGGGAAAAGTTTCCAAGCTATGAATGCTATTCGCGGTCGTAAATCAAAAGGCGGCAAGGAATTTGTGGTGAAGATATTTGTCGGGGTAGAATACGAATGTCCGCGCGGGCATCGATTTATGCTATCTGCACCTGACAAGGTGCTGAAAGCAACCGGAAACGGTATAGTAAAGGATAGTGGAAATAAGGTGACGTCTAGTACAGCTGATATGCCACTTTATTTCCCTTGTCCTTGCAGGTTTGTAGAACTATAGATATGCTTGATGAAGCTCAATGAACAAAACATTTCTCTTTTTTATTAATTTTTTCTTTTTTAGGCAAACAAAACCATTAATTGCTCAATTAATGAGAATCCATGTGGTGACACCTAAAGCCCCAGTGCACGTGACATTGAATCCTCGGGTCCAACCTGGTCCTCCACCGTGTCCGATTTTCGTCACCGGATGTGAAGAGCCGGTGAAGCTCTCTCAGAGCGCATATTGGATTTTAAGATTGCCGTATCCTTTTCGACTAATAAAATTTTTTGTATATTTATATCAAAGCGCTGAAAATACAAGTAGACTGAGTCACCATACATCGATAGAAGAAATTCAATGTTTCAAAGTTCATTAAAGAAAGTAAATATGGCTAATATGAAATAACAGTATAATCAAACGGTAGAAAACTCTTTCAACTCTTTTATCAATATAGATTAACTTTAATCTTGATTTAATTTACTCTTTATATTTTTTCAATTCTTAAAATTGAAAAAAGATAAAAACTAAGCTAAGTCGAGATTTAAATCAATTCATATTGATAATAATTGATAAAGAACTTTTAAAACATTTTATTTTGATCAAGTAAATAAAATAATAAGATATATGATATTTAAGCATTTCTGCATATTGAATTTAAATTTTTGTTCTAAAATTTATTCAACTAGTATTTTTAACATTTCATTTATGAATCGTTATTTAAAATAACATTAATTGAAATCTTTTTAACTCTTCGTCGGCAACTTGTAATTTAGCATCTTTTATCAGCTTTTATCTGGGATTTTGATCATTGTATAAAAATCCGAAAAAATTGTTATATATTTGTAAAATCTTTAACAAGTTTTTGTCATTGAAGAAGTTTTTTTCGCGAGATTCCGAACTCTGCTATTTACTCGCTATTTATCCTAACATTTATCAAATAAAAAAATTGTACAAAGATGTCTTTAAATCTCCAATTTGTTGATATTGATGAAAAGTTAAGTCTATCAATATATCATTTTATGTCTTTAAATTTATGAAGAGTTTCCTTTACAATTAATATACAACATGTACTTTATATTTCACTTAATCGATTTCAAGTTATCCTTAACAAATTCCAAAGTTATGTATATATGGGCGAGAAGGGACCATATCTACCACCCAAGGAACCAGTACCCACGTCACATGGACGTTTGTTGGCTGGCATGTATGGTATCAGCGAGGTTGTGCCAGAAAAGAAGTGAAAAATAGATTTTGACATCGCGATATTGTGATATGTATATACTTGTGAATACTTGTGTCTCATATTTACACGTGTGTGTGTGTGTGTGTGTGTGTGTGTGTGTGTGTGTGTGTGTGTGTACGTGCGCGCACGCGCACGCTCGCGTGCATATGTGTGTGAAAGAACTATATACGTTTGCGAAATAAAAAGTTTGCAACCTGCGGATTCCCGGACTCGATCTTTTATTCCAATTCCGACTCGCGATTGGTCGCTTTTAAAAGCCTCGTCGAAGTCCCCGATTGGTTTGCCTTAATTTGTTTTCGTTTCGAAACCGTCGCTAGTACATATGACAGTTACATCAAGTTACATTATACTTCGATGACGTGCGGGCTTTACTAAATCGCCGTATTCTCGAATAAAAATTCAACGGATCTCGTGGTGATTGAGTGACAAGAAATCACAGGCATAATCGCGATTTCCACGAGCGCGAGTGATCAGATTCCACAACCGCCATCTGCGCATTTTAGTTTGAACGGTATAACCGTTGGAGCGCACACAGCGAAAACACATGAAAAAGTATTTGTCATCGCGTTTCAAAAATCACACAAACAATCATCCTCGTTGCTCGCTAGTTTGCGTTCAAGGAAATTTCTTTGATTTTTATTGCGTATAAAAAGGGACCGAATGCTCCGAAATCGGAGTCGCCTTACGTTGGCGCGATAAATCCGTTCGACGTTCACGACACGGATGCCAGTTTCGAGACGAAACTGTATCATTTATTTTTAGTGACGCAATTTTATAACATCGCTCGGGAAGAGACATTGCGCTGTATATATAAATTATTCACCTTGAGGTTTTGATAGCTCCAGGTAATTGTTAGATAATTAAGCATTTTAATGTTGGATTAATATAAGATTCACACACTTTCTCTTTCAGACGGTAGATTAATTGACTGTAAATGGAGCGCAAATTTCTATTGTTAACATTTATCTCGTTGCTTAATTGTAAAACCAGTGAGGCATCCATCCTCGACTGGGTATGGAAATCGAAAACAGATGATACAACTGTCCTGGTCGCCGATGGTGTACCTTTAATCTCGATTCCTTATGAGTCAATGACGGAAGATGAGAAGTTTCTCCAGGAGGCTGCCAAGGTCACTGATATTCAGGTATCCTCCCCACTGGAGACATGTCAGCATAAAGTTGTTATGAGAATCAAAACCTCATGCTCTGATATGAGTGAAGAGGAACTAGCCAAATTAGGTGTCAATCTCCTTAACTGCCAATCAGCAGTTGAAGGCAGAAAAATGTTCCCCTGCACTGAAACTATGGTACGTAATTTGGCAGGATGCTATTTTTCTTCATGTTCTGCAAAAGATTTGTTGTTTTCATCATATTTTGTTGACTTTTTCATTGATCTTCTATATTTTATTAGTCTTATAAAATCCATTAATATTAACAAGAATATAATTGAATTATATATAATATAAGAAGCATATCTACAACTTTTTTAACAAGTGTTTTCCAGCATGCCTAACAACTTTTATTTATGAAAACTTATCAATTTTCCAATGAGAAAATTTATAAACAATAGAGAACTGATTTGATAGTAAGATAATGTACGTTGCCATGTTCTTTATAAATTGTGGGGGTAAACTCCATGCCTGTTCAAACCTGCATGCTTCCCCCTCCCTTTACTTCAGAAGACCTCTCCAAAGCTTCAGCCGCATAGTGTTATATATGCTGTGTTAGCGTTCTACTCATAAACTTTAGTATAGCAAAGCTTGATTTCAATTAAGAAAAATCACAAATAGGAATAATAATTACTAAAAATGTGCTATCTTGAAAGAACGTGTGCATGCAACAAAATCATGGTTGTGTAATTTTGTTATGTGAGTATAACAGCATGTTTCCCGTTTTCTTTTTTAGTCTCTTAAGCAGTGTACAATTGATATGGATGCCGATATGTGGAATGCATATCATTTAATGAGTAACAGAGCAAGAGCAGTTTGTTATGCATCTCGAAATACACAATTTCGTGCTCTTACAGAATTGACAGTCAACAAGCTGATGCAATCTGCACATTCTCAAATTGAAGCACTGAATTCTTTGAAGGTAATTATATGTTTCTTGCACAGTTTATTGATTCATTTATGATCAAAGAATTACATTGTTTTAATTATATTGTATTGATAAATAGCAAAGCCAAGCTCGTCTGGAAGAACAGACAACAGAAACTCTGTCATCATTGAATAAAGGAAACAAGATACTTTTGGAACAACAAGAATATTTGAAAGACGCTCAGGCGGCATCTCACAAACTTGTAACGACAAATCTGAAAGAATTGTACAATGAAAAAGCATTAATACGGTCTGGCCACACTCAGCTTGCAGCTATGACAGAAGAAATCAGAAATAAATTAGGTAAAATAAATTTTCTTCTATATTTTGTTTTACTATCAAAGATAACATTCTAAGTTTGTTTGATGTGTTTTTCAGAAAAGGCACATAATGACCTTGAACAACAGGCTATCGAACGTGGAATAAATCATCAGGAGATATTGCAGGATTTGATTAGTATACAGGAACAAGCACAATTAATCTGGGAGAAAATCGAACATAGCACTGATCGTATACTGGAGCAACATCAGGAAACCATACAACAGTATGAACAAACGATGGAGAAGCTCACACAGATTAATGATACCATTCAGTATATTTGGAATCTCACTAATACAATGCGTGCAGAAGTAGATCAAAAGTTAGGATGGATTACTGACTACATTGGCGATACCGGTAAAAAATAAAATTTTGTTAAATTATTTACATTCATTATATGAATTATAACGAAATTATTTACATTCATTATATGAATTATAACGAATTGAGATGTGCCGCTAATGTAATATATTTATTTCTATACTTTTAGGTGAACAGATGCAAAAAGTATATCGTACATTTTTACACGTTGTGTATATATTAGTGGCAATGATAGTCGCCGCGTTTTTACAAGCACCATTTTTAACCAGAGCTACCATTTTGAGCGTGGTACCAGCGAATCTTTTAACTTATTTGAAACATGGCATGGAAGTCTCTTTAGATTTTATGTCCATGACAGTATTAATATTTTTAATCACCGGAAGTAAGTACTGTGTATCTCGAAACACGTAATAATGAGATAATTCTTAAGTAAATATAGAGACAAAACAATAATATAAAGTACATAAATATTTTACATTAGATGCATTTATTTCTTTAACGTAGTGCATTTCATAATGCTGGGAATACAACGTATGATCGGATCGAACACTTTGGAGGCGAAAACAGAATTAATTAAGCTGATCCATCAAAAGGGACATTCGAACGGTGTTACTCAAAACAGTGCATCGTCGTCGTATCTTAACATTGTACCAAAACAGCTGCACACAATGTTTGTGAAAAAAATACAGAATTTCTATGATGCCATCATTTCACAAATAAATCACTGTAAAGGTACCTTTTTAATTTGGGGTTGAAAATACAAAAGAAAGAAAATGATTCTTATAATGTCTAATAATTTTTTTTTTTTAAGGAAAATTAATACTTTTTTGGAATTGATTGCTTCATGGGGTGGACGTAATTTAAATGTACATGAAGAACTCTCTTGTTCATACCAACCATCAAGAAAGAAGCGTGAGGATATCATTTACAACGAATATCAGTATTCCAATTTGATGCCAAAGGACTTCATAGAATGTGATTCTTCGAACGATACATCAATGTCTTGGCAATACCGTGACCATTTCAATAATAATAATAATGATGATAATTTTGATGATACAGAGAGGAGACTGTTTGAGCATTTTCAATCCAATATAGATTTACCACGAGACAGAAGGTAAATGACTGTTGCAAACTAAAAGATACATATTTAAAAAAGGATAAATCATTAAGTGACTAAAAAAATACTTTCAGTAATACTCCGTCACTGAGAATATCTTGTATGGGAATAACGAGAAATGGTAGAAAATGTCGAGCATTCGCATCACCTGGACAACGCTACTGCTATCATCATTCTACTGGCACATCTGTTAGGACTGATCTTGATTAATCGAAAAAGAATTGAAAATTAAATCGTTAGCACTTATAAGATTGGTAACAGATTGGTACTTATTTTATATATATATTTGTATACATATACAATAGACAGTGTATTCTAAGATGGAAGTAATTTAAGAAAAACAAGAAAAACCCATAAAAGTAAGAATTGGTTCGGAAAAAAATTGTGATAATTGATTAAATCCAGTTAAATAATTTTTACACAATTTGCGATTTTGTAAGTAACATTTCATGTATTTTAATAATAATAGTGATTTCAAGATATCACAATGATCTTGAGAATATTTTAAATATATAGACATACTTAATTAATATTATTTATTTAAATTACATGACTTGTATTTCATCATTGTGATTGAAGTATGTATATTTCTATTTTGTGTTGAGACTAATCTAAACTAAAATTTACAAGATTTACATTGTTTTTAATTGCATAATTTGAACAGAATTGTACAAATTTTAAGATCAAATTTTGTCTAGTCTTAATTCAAGCTTACAGTACATATGATTTAAATTATGATGATTCAATCTAACTCAATTTCAGGTTTAAAATGAAAGAAATTTTCTACTTACATTAAAAAATATTTTAACTCGAATTTTTCTTAATGTACCAGAAAAATTGCTTTTTTCAATTGAACTTTGATTATAATTAAGAACTTTGATTTAACTCAATCAATTTATCACGTTCATCCAAACTTTAATCTTCTAATTTTTAAATTATTCGTGTAATTCGTATAATTCTCACAATTTAAAATCTTTTATGTGAATATTCATGGAAATATATGTTCTTTTTAATAGCGAATATATAATATATATTTAAAAATACGTAATATCCTATTGTTGTTATAATAGCGCGTAATAATAATAATTAATTTTGTATTTGATGTAATATTTAATATTTATAAGATACAATCTACGTTTTATAAGAATACAAACATGTCAAAGTATAAAACTTATAAATAATCTTGTAACGCTTATATATGAAATTTTGTAAATTAATATAGATATAAACTTTTATTACAAAAAAGTAGAAAAGCGTTTGTGTTTTTTTTCATAATCGCATTGATTTTTGCTAGAATATTGTAGGTGTGTTGTATGTATATTCTGTTTCATCAACAAACTGCCATATTGAATTGTGTGCATACAGCATCACTCGTCAGCTCCAAAAATTTTGTATGAATATCAAGACCGGCTCCCACAACCAAATTGTGTAGATTACAATAGTTTGTCCCAGAATCGAATAGCATGAACCATTCATTTGACACAGAATCAGCCTGTCAGTGTAAGCGATCAATTGCTTTTATTAGTTTAACAATCGACTTTAGTATTTTAAGTATTTATGGATCATTAGAAAGAAAGATTTGGCACGAATTTTCAAATCGAATTTATATTAAAAAATTAGCGTTAAATATTAAATATATTAACAGCAAGATAATATTCAATACAATACATTTTATAGTGTTGTTTGTTCTTTTCACAATTATCGTATAATAATTTGAATTTGAATTAAAAACTTACTGTAACAAGACACGTATTGTTCAATTCCTTGAAGATAATCTCAATTTTCTCGAGCGACTTCAAGTTTGGTGTTCTGTGCGTTGCTCTGATTATATTATTCTCCACAGGAAGCTGGAGCTATCACGAGATATATATTAGCATTAATTCTCATTTAACAATCGAATTATACTTTTACCGTATACAGGCAACTGCTGCCACGCTGTTGACAAGCTTTCCAAGAAGACCAATTCATTATCTGACGCTGGAACTTTTGCATCACATACGCGCATGAATCATCAAACTTCCTGGAATTCATATATTTATATTGATATTTATTTTTAAAAAAGATTTAAAAATTTAAAAATATAAACAATTCGATAAATATTTAAAACTTGTTGAACTAGTATCGTTTATATATTTATATCTTTTTAGCCAAAGATTAAATTTCAAATTTATCCAAAGAGAGAGAGAGAGAGAGAGAGAGAGAGAGAGAGAGAGAAGAGATTAATTTAAACTTTCAAAACTACGGTTTATTTCAATTTTTCCTTTCAAAGAACCACTTTTCCAAAGAAACTACTTTTTTTACAAAATTATAATTTAGAGACGTAATAATATTTTTCCCTTTTGCAGAAATGATGATGGTTCTGATGATTCTGATTTTTGCAGATAATTTTTTAATTTAAGAACTTAATCCTCGAAAAAAGAGTAATGTCGGTCCGCAGCAGTCCGTTCTCATGGAGTCGGAAAAGCGCAGATCGTATATTTTTCGGGCGGTGTCGTCCCGACCAAAGCAAAATATACGAGGCCCCACGTCGTGCCAACGATATTGAGTTTCTCTGTGTACATAACGCATCACGAAAGCGGCGTGTACGTCGCTTCAAAAGAAACTTTTCGAAAGCTCTAGTCCTCGTAAAAACGACGCGACGATCATTCGCGTTAGCTATTGCCATAGGATGAAAGAGCTCCGATCTCTCGGCGCTTAAGAAAAAAAAAAAAAAAAAAGAAATAACAACGGCAGGAATGTAAATCCGCCCGAAAAACTCTGGAACTTGTTCATAAAATTGCCAAGAAACATTTTGCCACTTCGACAGCAAGGTGATAATGCGTCGCGGAAAGCTGCAAAATTCAACAATGTTTTTTTACGATTTTGGAACTTTTCGAATGTCTTGCGACAACTATGTTCCTCTCGGAAATTAAAAATTTCATACAAAAAGATTAATCATCTATTACATCATATTACTTTGAAGTCATGTCATATATAACTATGTAGAAATATAGATTCGACATTTTATATAATTTTTATTATAATTTAATGCAGCTAAATTGATAGTTATATCATTCATTGATAATCAAATATCTTTTATAATAAAAAAAAGTTAAGAAGGTTTTATAGAGGGGAATCTTATAAATAAAATCAGGAGACTGATTTTCACAAGAAAATCCATTAAAAAAAAATGGAAATTAATTGTTAGTTTATTCCAAGATCAATGTTCCCTAGAGTTATGTGTTAATTTTTTTCAAATACAAAAAAAATTTGGATTATAGAGAATTAGGAAAAGAGAAAACAAATAAATCATTATTTGTTCATTATATCTGAAGCATGATTCGTCATTTTGACAATATTCATATTATCATTTTGAAATTATTCATATCCTAATATGTTTAAGCTCGCGATTACCATTTCACAATGCACGAAGCGTGCAAAGGATACGGGAACAGCAGGCCAGCGATTACAAGGCAAAATAATATCGCCAGTATCGTAGCGAGGCTGTAAACGCAGTACTTGCAGTTCCTTTGGACGAGCCACTCGTTAAAATTATCGAAGGCTTGTCATCTGTCATGTGCATAAAACATTTAACAGATAATAATTATTAAATATATCATCTAAAAGTTAAAGCGTTACTTCTCATGTGTAATAAATATATGAATTGGAATATATAAATTGGAAGAAATTTCCAAGAGAAGGGGGGGAGGAGGGGAAGGAATATTATCGGAATCATTTTGGAAAACTGAATTGAAAAATAACTATGAGTTATCTTTGAAGATAAAGCAAAAATTTAGAAAGCAATTTAAAAGATTGAAAAAATAGAATGTGCGGCATTGTTCTTTATTTATTTGAAATTTCGATTTTACTTTAAACTTTATCTTTACTTAAAGATTCTTCTCAGGCAACACCTGCTGGATGACTAGAAGTAATTTTATAAAGCTTTATTTCAAAAATTTCTTAAAATTAAAAAAATCTGAAGAATCCTTAATAAATTATTTATAATCAAATACATATCAAAGTATTTCTACGAAAGTTTATTATAACAAATAATTTCACGATTTAGAGAATAAAATACTTCGTAAAAAATTTATAAGCGATACCAAATATTTTGTTGCAGTTAATTTTTTCTGTAATATTTTACATGCATATAATATTATATGTAATAATATATGTATGTATGTGTACATATATATTTATTGTGCCTAAAATGCTAGAAATTAATAAATCAATTTGCTAGAAATTAATCAATTTCAATTTAATTAATCAATTCCATAAAATAAAACTTTCAATATTTTTTTTAAACTTTCCTATTTAAATTTTATAAAATAATTTTTTTAAATGTATTTTCAAATCAATATAAAAGTTAACAATGTTATAACATTATATTATAACATTCCAGTTATATTGTACAAATCTTGCTAGAATGTTCTTAAGCATTGCTTAGATTAGATTAAATATATTGATTTTTTTATTTAAAAAAGAATTATTATTTCAACGTTTTCTCTTTATTAGCACAGACCAATTTGTATAAGATATAAGTGTATATTTCCTAAAATATACACTTATTTGCAGAATTTAGAATATTTTATATAAATATTTGAAAAAATTCTCAAGAATTTTAACCATGATATGCATGTAGTAATGTAGCTTCTAGATTTTCATTGTACTTTTTATGAATTTCTGATGCATTACAAATTAGAAAACAAGAATATTTAAAGAATAATTTTAAAAATTTCTTATTTAAATCTATCGGAGAATAATTTGATATGGTAATAGACATTGAAATTGAAGAGCCTCAAAGAGAATGAAAAAGAGAGTTAACCATTCTGTCTCGACATGTCACAATCGTCCTGCGACATCGCCGATTCTCTTTCGGCGACATGGCGAAAATAATACGGCGACGAGCCGATCATCACGTTATCTCCTTGCGCTGACATTCCGGTCTTGACGCTGGTCCTCTTGACGCTTTTCGACGACCGGACCATATTACAGATCGGTCATCTTTCACGAGAAGAGCACAGACGGAAAAAAAAAGGAATGCGCGTCCCTATCCTGTCTTTTTGCTGAAGGCAAATGACTGTCATCCCGCGTATTATATTATAATACGATTGTTTTTTACAAAATCTCGAACGTTGAATCGATCTTTATGTACTCGATGTTATTAAAAATCCAGAGAAAACACAAGTTAAAAATTAAAAACATCGCTCGAGGTAAAAGTTAAGAAAAATATCAAGCACGAAAAGAAGTATCTCAAAAGCTCAAAAAATTGCCTGGGATGTTTAAGAAAAACTTAATAAAAGATATCCTCCGCGGAATTATCAGCGACACGCACTTAACGGCAGCTTCCCACGCGCTTAGATCGGCCGACCTTTTTTTTTCTTATAAGCCTTTTTTACGACACCTCGATGACGCGCGGGCGGACTTCCCTAATGAATACTATCCACTAAAACGCATCCCATAAATGTACTTGACTACTACGTTTTTTTCTCGCACAAGTCCTCGACTTAATTTCTTCTTTCCCCGTTTTTCGTTCCCGTAAAAATTGTCATGTTGTCTATTCTTCGTGAACCAATGGGGAAGGTACACGCGATTGGACGAAAGAGATATATCATTTTTCGGCATATAATAAAAGTAATTTAAAAAGTCTTAATTTAAAAATTAAAAATATTATGATTGATTTTTAACTTTAACTTTAACTTAATTATTTAAAAATTAAGATAAATGTTTAAATAAATGTAATTTTGAAAATCAGAAATAATTTCCAAGTTTTGATTTCCAAGATAATCGTCGATTTGATTCGGATATTTTTGTAAGGATTTGCTAACGCGAATCCTTCGAGTACGGCAAGTCGTATCAGAGTTGGCGTTGATAGTTTAAAGTATCGCTTTTGTTGCTCGTCTTGTTTCGCGTGGTATCACGGGAAGACATCAGGGTTGTATACGAGACGAGAGAAAACGTCATGTCGGCTTGACAGCTGGTGACGATGTAAGATCCGGTTCACACGACATCCCGAATCGCCTCCCTCCCTTCTCTCATCTTCGCAAGAAGACAGCAGCTTCGCAAAGGAAATATACGTCCTCTTGTCATTCTTCATTTTTCTTGCGCTTTTATTTATTCACAAATACAAAGAGTTGCTCTTAAATGTGGATTCAAAGTGCCATTTTCTTTTCTCGCATCGTTATTACGTTTCTCGCATATTATGAGAAACGACACCTGTAATTGTGGTAGTTGATGAATGTGAATCAGTGTTGCTAGTATAGCAGAGCAGTAACAGAATTAGTAAACAGGAAGACACTGTCTCCATTCATTCCTTCTCTATCTACTGACCCACATTCGCGGAAGCGAATTATGTTTCACCTCGCTCGCGTCTTTCCTATTTCCTGTCGGAATCGATTTTACTACTATTAATCCTGTCACATTAAATATGTCGTAAAATTATTAAAAATTAGAGACAGAAGATATTGTGATATATTTAAATCATTTCAAGAGAGAAAAAGAGAAAGAGAGAAGAAGAATTATTAGAAAAATATCGCAAAAATTGAAATACCGGAAGAATATCATCCGATATTTAGGAGATTATGTTATTTAAAATTACAGAAGAATTATTCCAGAAGAGTTTTCCAAGAATCGCTGACTCCGAATGTTCAAGCAAAAATCGAGATTCTTGAAAATCGAAATCACAAAACGTCCGAAAAAATATCGGCGCGCGAGAATTTGAAGTCGCGAGAAGGAAATAGACGATACGACAGTGTCGACGGGCGTCCCGACGCTTCACGTCGACGTTAGATTCCATTTACTCTTCCGCTCATCGTGATGCTCCTTTTCGCGGCACGTCCGTCGCTCTCTCATCGTCCACGTGCAACTTGACAGCCATAAAGATGGGCCGCTTCCCCGACATCTGGCTTGACGCGCGCACTTTGTAGTCTCCTACCTATGCGTAAAAGGAGTCTCACGTCATCGTCAGCCTTTGCCGGCGCACACGGATTGACAGGATGAATCGTTGATGCCCTTCTAGGAGCCTTCGCGAAAGATGTACAGAATGTTCCAAATTACCTACGCAGACCCTCCAATCTCGAATCCGAATTTGATTTGTCTTACAATTTAAAAATTTTTGCGTATAACAAACGTATAACAAAGAAGAAAATTAAATATATATTTATAAAATAATATGCAGTATGCAGTATATAAGTGCAGTATATAGAAAAGTAAATACATTTTGTCAAGTTTTAAATGCCTGGGAAAAGATCGAACGTTCACTGTATTATCTTTATTTTTGTGTATTATCTTTATTTTTATACACTTCCGTTTTGTCAAAACGGAATTAAATATTTCTTCACTTATAGTACTATGTAAAGAGTAAATTAACAGATTTAAAAAAGTACAATATAATTTTGACAAAGTAGGAAGAAAACTCGAATGTCGAATCTTTTATGAATAAATCTTTAGCTTTAAAAGTCTATATAGTTTCAGAAAACGGATTCTTATCAGATAGGTATCTAATTTGCCTATTTTTTATTGGGTTGAAAGACCGAATGGCGGTCTTTGAGGGAGAGAGGGCGGTTCGAAGCCAGAACGGTTCTTTTGAGGTTACCGATAAAATGAAATCAGACACATAGCGGAAGAAACGAAAGAAGAGATTCCCGCACACTCTCCCTAGAAATTTATAATTTAAACCGCCTGTCGGCAGCTAATTTCCTGTTCGGGGGGCGTGTCTACGACTATAACGCTTTCTCGCGGTTAACCTGGACAGTTGAGGACCTCCGATGATTCGGTCGAGGGAGAATAACGAAGAAAGTGAGTGAATGAGTGAGTGAGAAAGAGAGAGAGAGAGAGAGAGAAAGAGAGAGAGAGAGAGAGAGAGAGAGAGAGAGAGAGAGAGAGAGAGAGAGAGAGAGAATTCCCTCATAGAATGATTCTATGAGGGAACCATTTTCGGTATCCAAATAACAGGGTGTCATCCGCGACATTAGTTGGCTCCCTCGACCCTTTCCGTAAGCCAATCGTGCGTCGACATTAGCAATAATCCTTTTTTTCTTTCGTTACGTGTATTCCCCTACGCTCGAAGAACGAGGGATGATATTTTTCTATGCATGGAATCCGCAGAAGTTTTCGACGATTGCAAGAGGCATGCGGCCCTTTTCTTGCGCATGGTCTCTCGCAGAGCGCATCCCTCGAGACGGTAAAGCTGATCCTTCTTTTTTCATCATCCCTCGTTCTTCCTCGTCCCTTTTTCAGAGAACGACAAATACGCAATCGCACGGGGGTGGTGCTTCGGTTGTCTAAACGAGCCGAGAAGTCGCCGTCGTGGTCTTTGCACCGTACTTCCGGTAAAAAAGCTGAGGCATATAATTTTTCAAAACGCGTTCCAACGCGTCATAACGCGTAAATTATCTGCTGTAAATTATCTTGCACAAAGAAGAACGAGGTCCATCGGTTTATTTTATAACATTCTAATCGAGACGCACAAAATCCAGAATCTTTTCAATAAAAACTGTAGACATAAAGTAAATATCAAATATTTGTAAAGAATAATTTTTGTAAAGTATAATTTTTTTTATATTTGCAGTTTTCTAAAAATATAATAACTCAAAATATAAATGTAACGCAAAATTAACACATCTCGACTGATTTTTTTTCTAAAATCACATGTAGCAGAAATTGAGAAAAAGTGTATCAAAATATAACAAATTTATTTTTATATTAATGATAAAATAAAATAAATTTTATTTTATTGTTTAATGTTGTAAATTTGTAATTGTAAATTTATATATTATTATGTATATTTATATATTATTTTATATTTATATATATATATATATATATATATATATTTATTGTTATATTTATATATATTATTAGTATATACATATATTATCTTTATTCACAAAAATTCATTTCAATGATCGTAAGAAACGAAAGTTTAGAATAGAACTTATCTTTAGCGAATAGTCTGGTCTGTCGATCACGTCGATTTCTTTCGCGCAATGAAAACACATGAGCTTTCCTTGGCACTGCCGGGTGCATCGACGCTGTCGACGGGATGCGTCAAGCGCGCCTATTAGTGGCCTTCGCGGTATCATAAAGTAAATCCCACAAAAAAAAGAAGTCGCGGATGCTCTTTACGATGCCATCGTTCTCGAAGGCGCCGATGCGGCCTGCGGATGGTCGTGGAATTTACAGCTTCCACGTTCCGATCTATTTTAACGATAGCTATGGGTGTACCTCTCTGTCGCACGTAACTAACAATCGAATGCGAGAATACTTATTTGAGTTTCAAAACATTGAATGTAAACTTCAGATATTTCTGAAACAAAGTCGATTTTCGATTTTTTATTACAACCATAGATGCTAATTTTTAGTTTTTCTGCCGAATTTCTGAATTTTAATGATTTTTTTTAAAAGTAAATAGAAGCGTAGAGATGACAGTTTTTGAGTACTTTCTTCAGTTTGAAGAGATTCTTCAGCAATAGATTTTATTTTTTTATGACAGAATAAACTAAGATATAAAATATGCCAAATGAATGAAACGAATTGTGCCCATTCACTTTTTTCTTCATTTTTTTCAAAAAATCGATATCTGATAAAATACTAATCCAAAGACGGCAATCATACAACTTTATCATTACAACTTTTCTTATTTTTCTTTCTTTTTTGAAAAATTTTTTTGACTTCTGAAAAAATTACACTTCTAATTTGCTTATGTTCTGTATATATGATATTTTGAAAATTTTAAAATGATTTATTAAAAAAGTCTTGTTTGATTTAAATTGAAATAACGAGATCGCGAGGCTGTCAAAGTGCGCGGTCGCGTTTGAAGAATTTCTCATTCACGGATCGTTCGTTGATGTCGCCGACTGGGCGAGAGTTGCTCGAAACTTTTCTAACAGGAAACGTAATATTCTAGGATGGATGCGGGGAGATACGCTCGATTATGCGAGCTTTCTGTCGCGCCGGCGCCAGTGAGACGAGAGCGACTCTTCTTTCC